TTTTTTTTTGTGACATATACAGAGAAAAAACAGGGGGATGTGATATTTTAGGTATCAAATACTAATGAATTGAAATATTGTAAACATTTCCTTAGGGGATGTTATATTTTAAAAGTATACATAAGGGGGATGTGATATTTTATGTTTAAATTTTAGTTTCTCTTTGTGACATATACAGCAAATAAACCAAGGGGATGTGATATTCTAGATACCAAATACTAGTCGTTTGAAATATTGTTTGAGTTACTTAGGGGGATGTAATATTTTAAAGGTAAAGATAGAGGGGATTTGATATTTTAAATACCAAATAATCTTTGTTTTAAATATTGTATGAATTACTTAGTGGATGTAATATTTTAAAGGTAAACATAGAAGGGATGTAATATTTTAAGTAAAAATTTAGGTTTCTTTTTGTGGTACATACAGAACTTACAAGTGATGCATGTGATATTCTAGGTACCAAATACTAATCGTTTAAAATATTTTGTAAATTGCTTAGGGGATTTAATATTTTAAAGGTTAACATAGGGGGGATGTGATATTATAAGTAAGAATTTAAGTTTCTTTTTGTGATATATACAGAATTTACAAGTGAAATATTGTAATATTGTAAAGAAGTACTTTGGGGGATGTAACATTTTAGAAGTATACATAGTGGGGATGTGATATTTTAAGAAAGAATTTCAGTCTCTTTATGTCATTTATGCAGAAATTACAAGTGATGGATGTTGTCTTCTGGTTACCAAATACTAATTGTTTGAATTATTTTATGAATTACTTAGGGGGATGTAATATTTTAGACGCCTGAATAGGGTGGATGCGTAATATAAATAAGAATTTCAGTTTCTTTTTGTGACATATACAGAGAAGAAACAGGGGGAATGTGATATTCTAGGTTTCAAATACTAATCGTTTGAAGTATTGTAAAGAATTACTTAGGATGATGTAATATTTAAAAGTATACATATGGGGAACGTGATATTTAATGTAAAAATTTCAGTTTCTTTATCTGATACATACAGAATTTACAAGTGAGAAACCTGATATTTAAAACACTAAATACTGATCGTTTCAAATATTGTAAAAAACTACTTAGAGAGAAGTAGTACATTAAAATTATACATAGGGGGATGTGATATTTTAAGTAAGAATTTTAGTTTCTTTTTGTGTCATATGCTGAGATTAAACAGGGGGATCTGATATTTTAGATACCAAATACTAATCGTTTGAAATATTTTATAAATTACTTAGGGGATGTAATATTTTAGAAGTATGTATAGGGTGGATGTGATGTTTTTTGAAAAGAATTTTAGTTTCTTTATGTAATTTATACAAAAATTACAAGTGATAGATATTCTAGTTACTAAATACTAATTATTTGAAATAATTTATGAATTACTAAAGGGAATGTAATATTTTAGTCGCCTGCATAGGGTCGAGGTATAATTTAAGTAAGATATGTATCTCAAATTTTGTTAGCTATTTTTTGTTTCTTAGGTCCTCGCTTGATGGGGAGATCTTTATAATAAATTTATAAATTTAATTAAAGAGCTTTTAATAAAATCAAGGAACTTTAATATTTATAGTTTAGCATTTTAAAGTTTTAATTTAATATTTTATTTTCTTTAGATACGATTGAGCTAACAATTTAAACATGCGACATTGTTCAACAAAGTCATAAAACTTTAGTGGAATTAAAGTTTTCATAAGATTTAAAATGAACGAAATTAATTACAATAAGTTTTTATTCTAAATGTTTTCATATCTTACAACATAAACATTTTACTAGTTTTTATGTACAGAAAGTTTTGAAGGAAAATAAATAATTTTTTTTATTCTATTGCACAATTTAAAATTTTTCTCCATTACGTCCACCTATGGTGGCTGAGGCGTAAGGTTTCGGGAAGGTTATAATTTCTTCAGAATAATAGAAGCTTCTTTTTTTCTTAATAAAAGAAAGTTTTTAAAGAGCTATTTTAAATATTAACGTTTCTTTGGATGGTTTGGTATTGAAATATAATGTGATTATTGAGCCTGCTGAGGTGAGTTAATAATATTTATTCCAGTTCACAAGTAGTAACATTATACAAATTTTTAAAAGTGGCAGTTAAAAATTTGACTTTATTACATTGACATGATTTTATAATAATTATAAAATCATGTATTTCGGATTAAGAATCATCCAATATCATACTGAACAGAAATGATAAAGAATAATGTACTTCAAAAGATGGAAAAGACAAAGAACATAAACAGTTTTGGGATTTTGATTATTTAGGGTAAAGTAATTTAAAATGAAAAAATTTACAAACATTACAAACATGTTGATTATTGTTGCTCTATGCCCACAGTGCATTTATATATATATATATATATATATATATATATATATATATATATATATATATATATATATATATATATATATATATATATATATATATATATATATATATATATATATTATCAAATGTTAACACAACATTTTTGTAAAAATTTTGGAAAAATACTATTGAGCAATTATACTCTATTTATTCTTTCACACTAAAAATATTCTGCTTTTGTTAGGTCTTCCTATTTTCTTAATGACACAAATGCTAAAGTGCGTAATTGTTCGAAGTAGATTTCACTAACAAATAATAATCATATTTATAATGACAGATTTATAGCGTTGAATTCAACAAGTTTGAAAAAAAGACGAGAGCATGGTGGCTTTATTTAAATGATTCCATTAGGTAATAAAATTGACTATATCAATTTTTATAATAAAGATTGATTAAATTTTTATTTGACGAGTCCAGTACCAACGCGTACCCATAATAAACATAACAAAAAATCTGCTAAGAAATTGTCCTTATTTATAATATAAATTTTTTTTTAATTTGTTATTAAGGTGACCCAAGAAGTCCTTACGGTCTTGTCACAGAGCACCGCGGAAGTGTATTTAACCAGGAAGTTTACGCCTCCTTCCTTACCATGACGCGAATTATGTCCAAAGCTCGTTTTGAAACTGGATCTCCTGCTTATAGAGCAAGCAACCTAACCACTGCGCCACGGCCGCACAATATTTGGCATAACTTTTTTGTGAATCAAGAAGCTCGTTTTGATCAGTTTAGAAAGTTAAAAGGTTTAAATAAAGATAAGCGCTAGAAAAAGAATGAGCTAAAACAAAGTGAAGTGACATTATATCTTTAAATATATTAGTTGAGGTTGAGAGTTTATGTTCACTTATTTTAGTTAAAAAATGTCTCAGAAACCCATAGCTAATCAAAGGCATCTAAATTTTATAACGCATTTTATTACAGGTCTTTAAACGTCTTTAAAAAACGCTGAGAAGAGAAATGTTTTTTTTTAAATATTGTTACTCTGTAGAGTAGTTACTGGTATACCTGTTACTTCGATAAAGTTTTCATACTATTTATAAAATAATTTTTTTTTTCAAACCTAATATGAAAACAATTTTTATTGTTTTTTAACTTATACTCGGGTAAAATTTTTGGGTAATATTTTCTTATTTTAATTTATAGTTAAAACATATATATTTTTCATTGTTTTATTTTATCGCTTATTTTCAAGAGAAGGCAGAGACACCAATAAAAAGCTTTGAAGTTAATGATGGTGAAGGTATGAATTAAAAACTTACTTATTCATTTATTAAAATTATATAATTGTTAGAGTTTTTTTTTATTTATAATTTATTTTCTAGAGGAGGCAGAAAATTATAAAAATCTTTGCAGTTAAAGACAGTGAAGGTATATAATAATAAATCACTTTACAATTTGTTAGCGTTACCTTTTTATTGTAATGTATTTTTTCTTTTAGAGGAGGCAGATTCAAAAAATAGTTTTGTAGTAAAAGATGGTAAAAGTAGGATTTAAAAGGTTACTTTTTCATTTATAAATATTAGCATTTTATTTTAAAGTATCGCTTGTTTTTTCGAGAAGGCAGAGAAGCCAATAAAAGCCATTGTAGTTGAAGATAGTGAAGGTATGTATTAAAAACTTACCTATTCATATATAATTGTTGGCGTTTCATTTTAGTTGTAATTTATTTTCTAGAGGAGGCAGATATTCATATAGAAAGCTCGGTAGTTAAAGACAGTGAAGGTATATATCAATAAATCACCTTTATATTTTGTTAGTGTTAGTCTTTTATTGTAATGTATGGTTTTTTTCTAGAAGTGGCAGATACAAAAAAAAGTTACGTAGTTAAAGATGGTAAAAGTATGATTTAAAAAGTAACTTTTCATTTATAAATGTTACTATTTTATTTTAAAGTATCGCTTTTTTTTTAGAGAAGGCAGAGACAATAAAAAACTTTTTTAGTTAAAGACAATAAAGGTATGTATTAAAAACTTACCTAATCATTTATAATTGTTAGCGTTTTATTTTAATTTGTTTTTATTTATTTTAATATTCTAGAAATAGTAAATACAAGAAAAAACTACATAGTTGATGATACAGAAGGTATGTATTATTCAGTGGCGCATGAGTGAAATAAAGATTTTTATGTAAATTTATTTAAATAATTAATTTAAACAACATCCCACCTGGTGAAAAACTAGGTGTTTTAAAACATGTAATCTTCAATAAATTTAATAGTCGTTATTTTATTAGATGAAAGACTCATGCTTAAATTTTGATGAAATTATGCTTAAATTGCATTTCCTAAATAGGTCACAAAATAATAAAATGGATCCATATTAAAAACCCTGTAAAAGTCATTATGGGTATATATCCAGATTTAGATGGCTGCAAGGTATACGATTATTCGTTACAAGACACTTTAAACAAATGTCTCAGTGACGAAGTTGTTTATATTTATCTCAAAATATTAGTAAACAGTAAAGAAAAAGTATGATTAATTAATGTACTTCATAATAAAATTTTTGTACAAAAAAACAATATTGTATTTTTTTTTTAATTTGTCTTCATTTAAATAAAATTTTAATTCTAAATATAAAACCATATAATGAATGCCATTCCATTTATTGATGCTTTGAAGAATCGAATCGAAGTACTGTCGCCAGCTGGGCTACTCTCACTGGATGAATTGCCAATTAAAACTGATTTAATACGAAGACGGCATAAGGTATTCAAAAACTTTTATCTAAAAAAATTAATGATTCATTAATTTAATTATAGAATATTTTTACACACACACGTATATATAAATGCATGGTGGCAAAATTCTATTGGACGCTTGCACTATGTAAAATAGTATAATTGTTTTTTGAAAAAGTTTGAGATTTCTTTAAGTACAAAAAGTTCCCCATTTTTTTTACAGGGAACCAAACCTTGAACCTGATTTTGAAACTCACTTGTGTTTAAGATAATCAAACCAGGTAATAAAACAATTCATTCTATGAACCAGGTAATAAAACAATTCACTCTATGGGAGAACAGATAAATTCCATCAAAAAAGAAGAAGTGAAATGGAAGTATGATATTATTAATAGATATTCCTATATCAAAATTTGTATTTACATCTTTTATAATTTTTTGACTATTATACAGTAGTTGTTACTTACAACAAAGATATGGTGTTTCAGAAAAGTTTGAAATATTAACATTACCACATGCTATACAAGCTGATGGTATACCATGTGGAGTATTCTGCCTTATAACTTCAAGACTCTTAACTGTAATGGATATATATATATATATATATATATATATATATATATATATATATATATATATATATATGCATATATTTATATAGTTTAGTTCTTTCCACTTAAAGAAGTTAATGCATATAGAAAGAGAGATAAAGGAGGTTTGTGAGATTCTTTAGAGAACTGAAAATGTTTATACTACTTCAATGTTAAATGATATCTAAAAAAAAGACAAAAAAAAAAAAGATAAAAAATTTAATCAATAGGTCAAAAAAGTTGGCAGAATAGTTTGTGTCGCATTTGTGGAAGTGAAATTGGTCAAAAAACTAGAAAAGATCAAAAAAAAGTTAAATTGGTAATAAAATATATTTTAATTATTTTTTAATAAAAATTTCAAATAAAAAAAATACTTTAAATATTCAAATAGAAAATGTACATTAAATATTTATTTTTAGATAAAATGAGATATTTGCATCCCAAATTGATGGTACCGTATGAGATGCATTGCTTTTAGAAATGAAACTTTATTTTGTTATAAACATATTTATATATAAATGTAATAAAAAATGAAACTTTAAAAAATGCCGTCATTTCTTTTTCTTCAAAATTTTTTATAAATTAAACCAATTTAAATGTTTATGCCCTTAGAGATAAAAACACAAATAGGTGAAATTTTTTTTTTCTTAGTTTCAGTGACTTCATGTATTGTTATAATACTTTAACTTGTCGAAAGCCTTACATATGAATTGACTGAACAATAATACATTTTTAATTTGTTAGCTCAATTAAATCTAATAAAAAAAAATGAAAAGAGACTGTTTGAGTAATCTCTGCACATTTTGCAAATAACAGCTAAAATTCTAAATTAAAATATCAAATCTCCCTATGCAGGCTTCTAAAATACTCTCCTACATAATTACTACGTTGTTGCAAAATAATTGTATTTATTTTCTGGAGTAACACAACCCCCTGTGTAGGCTCTATATATATATTACGAAAAGAAGCAAAAAATCAACTAAAAAATCACATCCCCCTATGTATATCTTTAAAATATTACATCCCCTAAGTATTTCACAAAATTTTTCAAATGAGTAGTAATTGATATATTGAATATCACATCCATCAGGTAAAAATTCTGCTTGTACCGCAAAAAGAAACTAAAATTCTTACTTAAAATATCACATCCCCCCAATGTATACTTCTAAAATATTACATCCCCCTTAGTATTTCTTTACAATATTTCAAGCAATTCATTTTTGGTATATAAAATATCACATCTCCTCTGTGGAGTCTCTGCATATATCTCAAAAAGAAACTGAAATTCTTACTTAAAACATCGCATACCCTTTATGCTTACCTTTAAAATATTAAATACCCCAAAGTAATTTTCAAAATATTTAAAATGATTAGTATTTGGTATCTACAATATCATATTCATCACTTGTAAGTTCTGTATGTACCACAAAAAGAAACTTAAATTCTTACTTAAAATATCACTTCCCCTCTATGTTTACCTTTAAAATATTACATCCCCCTAAGTATTTCTTTACAATATTTCAAACAATTAGTATTTAGTGTTTAAAATATCACATCCCCTCTGTGGAGTCTCTGCATATGTCACAAAAAGAAACTGAAATTCTTTCTTAAAATATCACATCCCCTCAATGTTTACCTGTGAAATATTACATACCTCCCCCCCCCCCCCCCGCAAGTAATTCTTACAATACTTCAAACGATTTGTATTGGGTATCTAGAATATAACATCCCTTTGGTTTATTCACTGTATATGGCACGAAAAAAAACTAAAATTCTTACTTAAAATATCACATCCCCCGTGTGTGCACTTCTAAATTATTACACCCCCCTAAGTTATTCATGCAATATTTGAAACAAATAATATTTGGTATTTAAAATATCACATCCCCTCTATGTTTACCTTTAAAATATTACATCCCCTAAGGAAATGTTTACAATATTTCAATTGATTAGTATTTGATACCTAAAATATCACATCCCCCTGTTTATTCTCTCTATATGTCACAAAAAGAAACTGAAATTCTAACTTAAATGATCCCATCCCCCCTAATGTATACTTCTAAAATATTCATACAATAATGTATACTTCTAAAGTAATTCATACAATATTTTAAATGACTAGTATTTGGTATCTAGAATATCACATCCCCTCGGTTTATTCACTATATATGTCACAAAAAGAAACTGAAGTTCTTACTTAAAATAACACATCCCCCTACGTATACTACTAAAGTATTACATCCCCCTAAGTAATTCATACAATAATTCAAAAGGTTAGTATTTAGAGTTTAAGATAAGATTCATCACTTGTAAATTCTGTATGTACCACAAAAAGAAACTTAAATTCTTACTTAAAATATCACCTCCCCTTTATGTTTACCTTTAAAATATTACTTCCTTAAGTAATTCATACAATATTTCAAACGACTAGTATTTGGTATCTAAAATATCACATCCCTTCGGTTTATTCACTGTATATATCACAAAAAGAAACTGAAATTTTTACTTAAAATATCACATCCTCCCCTATATCTACTTCTGAAATATTACATCCCCCTAAGTAATTTATAAAGTATTTTAAACGAATAGTATTTGATATCTAGAATATAACATTCACCACTTGTTATTTCTATATATGTCACAAAAAGAAACTGAAATTCTTACTTAAATTATCACAACCCCCCTATGCAGGCTTCTAAAATATTGCAAACAATTGTTATTTTTATATTACTATTGTCACGCAATACATTACGATCAAAATTTTATAAATATGAATTTAAAATATATTACCATTTTATGCTAACTTCATTTATAGTCTATTAGTAGAAAAACGTTTTTATGAATCTCGTTGCGTTTTTATTATATTGTTTATAATTGAATGTTTCGGACGTACTTGATACACTTCTAAGTGCAATCACAATCTCGTTTTCGTTTTTTCTATGGGGGATGTGATATTTTAGGCGGATGTAATATTTTATTACATATCCTGAACATTTTTTAGGCGCGATAATTAAGAAAATTAAATATCGCAAACTTTTTTGTTTAAATAACTATAAAAATATAAAGACTTTTTGCTTATAATAATATAAATTTAAAGTACCTTCATAAGTAAATGTACAGTTTCTGCACTAAGAATAATAAGCAACTGTTTTCAAATAAATGAAATTTTAATAACATAAAATTAAAGTATAACTTGTGTTAAATACAAGTTAATTTAAAATTGTTGTTATGAAAGTAATTCAATATTTCGAGAAACCTTTTAATCAGTTTGATTTTGATTTTAAATGCAACACAAAATATTCAATAGTATTTTAGTTCTCGACTGACTCCTTAACTAGACATGGTTTGCATAATCTTACAGTTTTAAATTTTCGGTACGCATAAGTTATACCTCAAGAACCAATCGGTTTAACTAAATTTATCGGCTTTTTTTTCACAAAAAAACTTTTTTTTCACAAAAAACTTCCCGCCTTAGACACTTGAGTGGGAGAAAATCAATAAAAAAAAATCGTGTTAGGGTTAAAAATTTACACTTTTTTCTTAAAGTTAAAAAGTTATATAGAACTAAAAATTTAATATTGAGTTTAAAAAAGGAAAAAGTTTGACATTTCTTACCATGGAGTCTTCAGATGTTAAGTAGTTAGCAGACCCGTAGCAACCGGGTGGGCAGCAAGGGCATTTGCCCCCCCCCCCTTCCAATAATTTTTCAAATAAATAATTTTAAAGTAATTGAATCTATTTCGGGGTAGTACTGTCCCCCAAATATAATTTTTGTTCCTACGGCCTGGTTTTCCATTTTTATGATTTACATTTCCGCATAATTTAATTTGGGGTCGTCCATAAATTACGTCACGCTATAAGGGGAGGGGGTGGTTATTTTGTGACGACTCATACAAAACTTGCTTCTTAAGTGTTACGATTTTGTGACGAGGGGGAGGGAAGGAGGTCAAAATCTGTCAAAAAATGCGTGACGTAATTTATGGATGATCCCTTTATACTTCTGCAAAACCCGTTAATTAGTGTTAACAAAAAATGTCTTCCACTGGGTGAAGACGTTTAGACAAGTTAAAGAAGTTTTATGTTAGATAAAAAGTTTAAAAATATTTAAAATAGATTATATTTTTAGTCGGACTATTTTTATAACCAGATAAAATTTAGTTTAGTATTTCTAATTGCTTTATTGCAAAGATAACAATTATTACTTTTGCGAAAATTAAGTTTTCAGTCAATTGTATTCATTAGTGTCTAGTTTTTACTTAATTTTTTTAACATCGAAATAAATAATTAAATGTTTAAGTTAAATAAACTATAAAACATTATTTATATATATTAAAAAAAAAAAGTTTTCCTTTGACGAAATTATAAATCTTAATTCGTGTAACGTGATTTTCAAAACATAACTTGATGGAAAAGCAATAATTTGATTTATTTAGCTGATAGAAAAGTATATATATATAAAAAAATAAAAACAATTTTTAAAAAATAATTTTTTTTTTCAAATTAAAGAAATTTTAAATTATGTTGGAGTAATTATTTAATACAATTTTAAAGTTTATAAAAGCTTTTTAATAAAATTTATTTGATTTATTGATAATTATTTTATATAAATTTTACATTAAAGAAATTTTAGTTAATTATAAAAGAAAACGGTAATTAAAAAAGCAAAAATAAAATATCAAAAATAGAACCTTAAAAAAAATAACTAAACAAATGTTAAAAATAAAAGAAAAATTTCCATATAAAACCATTTGCTTTTTGCTTCTCAAAAAACAAAATGATTTGTCAGTTGAGTTCAAGCGGTATATTTTTTTTGTTTCTCAAAAAATAAATAGATTTTTCAGCTCAAGCAATATGTTTTTTGCTTCTCAAGAAACAAACGGATTTGTCAGCTGAGTACAAGCGGTATAGGTGGATGATCCACCACTAATCACAGCAATTAGTACAATCTTTAAGAGTAAAAT